TATGCACTGCCCCAATCTCTCCCCATAGCCCCATATGCACTGCCCCAGTCTCTCCCCGTAGCTCCGTATCAATCCCCAAATTAAACCTACTGCTCCTCTTCTCTCCCTACAGCCTTGTATCAATCCCCAAACAAATCTCACTGCCACACTCTCTACTCATAGCCCTATATCAATCCCGAATTAATCCCACTGCACCACTGTCTCCCCATAGTCCTATATCAATCCCAAATTAATCCCACTGCCCAGTTCTTTCCACGTTGCCTTGTATCAATCCCAAGTAATCCCACTGCCCTGCTTTTTCCCAATAACCCTGAATCAATCCCCAAACTGATCCCACTGCTGCACCCTCTCCTTTCTATCCCAATGTTAACCTGGCTACTAGTGTTAAACGCAGTCAGAAATGGAACAGCAGAGTTGAGCTGGGTGACGTTCTCATTGTGAATGTGGTGTTGAATGGCAAACATTGAGCCTGGGCATTTACCTGCGAGCGAGATTTGAGCTGCGGTTTGGCAGCATACTTTCGGTGAAGTTGCTGTCGTTTTGTTGTCTCGTGTGGCCAACGCCCCGCTCTGGGATTGCGTGGTGTTCGCAACTGGAAAAGATTCATGTGCGAGAATTAGGTTACAAAAGCAGATCAAATTTTCTCCCTCTTCGGTGGAAAAGAAAAATCCCTTTCCTCTCATCATGACCAAGAGGTACGGTGTTCTGGGTAGCTCAGGGGGGTATTGTGCCACAGTGCTAGCGTCACTACCTTTGAGCTAGGACACATGATTCTTGTCCTGCCTGCTCCAGAAGTGTGTCATTGTATTTGAGAGCCAGTTGATGATAAAAATCTGAAGAACGGCCTCCAAAATGTTTTACTTGAATGTCCGTTGAGTTACTTTGTGAGTTTAGGCTGGTCATGTATCTACTGGAGTTCGGAAGAATCTTTTGGTGATCCTCTGGAACCACATAAGATCTCCAGGGGTCCTGACAGGGTGGATACTGAAAGGATTTATTCTCTCACTGGACAGAGTCGAACTGGAGTGCATGCAGTTTTATGAAGAAGGGGCCTCCCATCTAAAATGGAGTTGAGGAGGAATTTTCTCTCTGTCTGGAGACACCACTCCCAGAGAGGGTGGGCAGAGGGGTTTGTGACACTGAATACTTTTAAGGCTGAGGGAGATAGGTTTTTGATTAACAGGGGGTACCATTGGACAATAATATATAGGAGGAGAATTAGGCTATTCGGCCCGTCAAGTCTGTTCTGTCATTTGCTCATGGCTGAGATGTTTCTGAACCCCGTTCTCCTACCTTCGCCCCTATAACTCTTCAACCTCTTACTCATCAGGAACCTATCTATCTCCATCTTAAAGACTTGGCCTCAAGTCCTAGTCTCTTCTACCAGTGGAAATCGCTTTTCCACAGCCAATCTATCCAGGCCTCTCTGGGTTCTGTATGTTACAATCAGATCCTGAAGTCAGTGACCGGGTCCTTCGTTTTGCTGACGTTGAGGGAGAGATTGTTGTCTTTACGCCATGCTGCTAAGCGCTCAATCTCTTTCCTGTCCTCCGTCTCATCGTTGTTTGATATCCACCTACAATCGTGCGGTTGTCAAGAATCATGTAAATTGAGTTGGTGCGGAATTTGGCCACACAGTTGTGAGTGCATAAGGAGTATAGTACGGGCTGAGTACGCAGCCTTGCAGGGCACCAGTGTTGAGGATTATCATGGAGGAGATGTTGTTGCCTATCCTTACTGTCGAGAATCCAGTTTATTTTTTCCTTTATTTAGTCACGGGATGAGGGCGTCGCTGGCTAGGCAGCATTTATTGCCCATCCCTAATTGCCCAAAGGGCAGTTAAGAGTCAACCACATTGCTGTGGGTCTGGATTCACATGTAGACCAGCCCAGGTAAGGATGGCAGTTTCCTTCTCTAAAGGGCATTAGTGAACCAGATGGGTTTTTCTGAAAATCAACAATGGATTCACGGTCATCATTAGACTCTTCATTCCAGATATTTTATTGAATTCAAATTCCACCATCTGCCATGGTGGGATTCAAACCTGGGTCCCCAGAACATTAACTGAGTCTCTACATTAACAGTTTAACGATAATACCACTAGGCCATTGCCTCCCAGAGTTACAGAGAGGGGAGCAGAGACCTAGGTCCCAGAGTGTGGAGATGAGTTTGTTTGGAATTATGGTGTTGAAGGTGGAGTTATAGTCAATAGGTAGGAGCTTGATGTGGGTATCCATGTTATCCAGATGTTCCAGGAATGAGTGTAGGGCCAGGGAGATGGCGTCTGCCGTGGATCTATTGTGATGGTAGGCGAATTGCAAAGGATCATGGCAAGGCTGGAGATGATGTGAGCCATGACTAACTTTCCAAAGCACTTCAATATGATGGAGGTCAGAGCCAACAGGCAGTTGACATTGAGGCACCTGGCACGATTTTTCTTTGGGATGATTGTGATTGTATTGAACAGCAGGAGCTGGTTTGAGGGGCCGGCACAACCTGCTGTCGCTCCATGCTGGTGTTTGCATTGAAATGGTGTGAGGGGTGGTTCTGGGACATTCGCTCTTCATAAACAGCAGCTTCATTGGCAACAGCTGCCAATATAAACCGGGCCTGCAGTGGGCACTGTAACAGAACCTGCTGACAGTCAGCCTGGTGAAAATTGGCAACATGAGGACGGAGCCCAGGACACAAGCTAGGTCCTTACACTGCAAGATCCCACAGTGCAATGCCAACACCCACTTGCCTCAATATCACCTTTCACATGGCAAAATGTCAGGTGTTTTGCAGCTATGCCAGTCAAAACAACCTCTTCCTGGAGTTGCACAGAGGAGATCTTCAGATAGTGGACTAACATAACACCATGGTTAAGGCAGGTTTGAAGGTCGGTCTTTAAGGAGTATGGAGAGAAGGGAGACTGAAGGAAAAGAACAGAGAGAGAGACTGAAAGAGAGGGACAGAAAGAGAGTGAAAGACAATGAGGAAGTGGAAGACAGACAGAGGGAGAGAGGGAGACGGAGACAGGGACAGACGGAGAGAGAGGGAGAAAGAGAGAGAGAGGGAGAAAGAGAGAGAGAGAGGGAAAAAGAGAGAGGGAGAGTGTGGGGAGGGAGAAGAGGAGAAAGACAGAGAGAGTGAGAAAGGGACAGACAGGTTGTGAGAGAGAGTTAGAGAAAGGGACAGAGAGACAGTGAGAGAGAACGAGAGATAGGGACAGAGATAGAGGGAGAGAGGGCAGAGGGAGACGGAGAAGGGGAGAAAGATAGAGAGAGAGGAAGGGACTGAGAGAGAGTGGGAGAAACAGACAGAGACAAAAAGATGGGATTGGGAGTAAGGGAGGGGTGGGTAATGCGGATAGACATAGGGAGCGAATTCTAGATGATAGGAGCAAGGCAGCTGAAGGCTGAGGCACTAATGGTGGAATTTGTATGGAGCTAGAATTGCAGGAACTGAGGGGGTGGAATGAGGGAAGAAATCATTTAACGTATTCCAACTCTCTCCATCTCACTATACAATATTCCAAATCACTCCCCCTCATTACACACTGTCACCCTCACTCCCCCTCATTCCAACACACTTCCCCTTCACTCCAACATACTCCACCTCACTTCCCCTCACTCCGATGCACTCCACCTCACTCCAATGCTCTCTACCTGTCACCACCTCATTCCCACTCATCTCCCTCACTCCACCTCACTCCCCCTCAGTCCCCCTCACTCCAACTGACTCCAACCCACTCCACCTCACTCTAATGCACTTCACCACAATCCCCCTCACTCCCCCACCTCACTCCAACCCATTCCAACTCACTCCAATCTATTCCATCTCACTCCGCCTGACTCTCCCTCACTCCAATGTACTCCCCCTCACTCTGCCTCACTCCCATGCACACCACCTCAATCCCCCTCCTCCCCCTCACTCCAATACTTTCACCCTCTCTCCAATGCAACCCCAATCAATCCAACATACTCTGCTGCCTCTGCAATTTGAGGTGTGTTGGGGAAGGGGAGGTGGGGTATATGGGGGCAAAGTGTGAGGGGGTACATGGAGGAAGGTATGAGAGGGAGGGCAAGGGGTATATGAGGGCATTTGGGGATGTATGGGGGTGTGTGAAGAGGAGGAGATATACAGGGGTCTGTGAGGGGGAGGGGGTATATGGAGGAGGGTGTGAGGGGAAGGGGGTAAATGAGGGAAGTGTGAGGGGGGAAGATGTGAGGTGGTGTGGGGTATGTGTTGCGGGGGATGTGGAGTTATTTTGGGAGGGATTACGTTTGGGCTCGCCAAGGTCACTCAGCTCCTGATCTCATTACAGCCTTGGTTCAAACATGGACAAAACAGCTGAATTCCAGTGGTGAGGTGAGAGTGACAGCCCTTGACATCAAGGCTACATTCAACTGAGTGTGGTACTCTCACAGCCCTAGTAAAACTGGAATCAATGGGTATCAGGGGGCAAACTCTCCGGTGGTTAGAATCATACCTGACACATAGGAAGATGGCTGTGGTTGTTGGAGGACAGTCATCTCAGCTCCAGGACATCTCTGCAGGATTCCCTCAGGTTAATGTCCTCGGCCCAACAATCTTCAGCTGCTTCAGCGATGACCTTCCCTCCATCATAAGGTCAGAAGTGAGGATATTTGCCAATGATTGCACAATGTTCAGCACCATTCGTGACTCCTCAGACACTGAATCAGTCCATGTCCAAATGCAACAAGATCTGAATAATATTCAGATTTGGCCTGACAAGTGGCAAGAAGCAGTCACGCCATACAAATGCCAGGCAATGACCATCACCAATGACAGACAATCTAGCCATCACTCCATTGATATTCAATGCGTTATCATCACTGAATCTTCCACTATCAACATCCTGGGGGTTATCATTGACCCGAAACTCAACTGGGCTCACCACATAAACACAGTGGCTACAAGAGCAGGTCAGAAGCTAGGAATCCTGCAGCGAATAACACACCTTCTGACTCCCCAAAGCCTGTGCATCATCTACAAGGCATAATTCAGAAGTGTGATGGAATGCTCCCCAGTTGCCCTGGATGAGTGCAGCTCCAACAGCACCCTAGATGCTCAACACCAACCACAAGAATCCATTCCCTCCACCACCACTGTTCAGTAGCAGCAGTGTGTCCCATCTACAAGATGCACCGCAAAAATTCTCCAAAGATCCTCAGACAGCACCTTCCAAACCCACAACCACTTCCATTTAGAAAGACAAGGGCAACAGATACATGGGAACATTATCCCTGGCAAGTTCCACTCCAAGCCAAGGGAAATCCTGATTTGGAAATATATTGGCCATTCCTTCACTGTAAATGGGTCAAAATCCTGGAATTCCTTCCTTAAGGGCATTGTGAGTCAACCTCACCAGCACCTTCTCAAAGGGGAAACTAGGGACGGGCAATAAGTGCTGACCAACCATTGATGTAAAGAGGGGGAGGTGGAGCTGTGAGGTTCCTACCATGCTGCTGCTGCTGTGGTTGTGATGAAGACTGTCGGAGGTTCAGCGACGTTGCCTGTAGCCTGGCCCTCCAGATCATTCGCAGTTGCCTGACTGTGTCCAGCTGAGTCCGGGGAATGTGCTGCAGGTTTAACGCACGGAGCAGGAAGCTCTTCACCTCCTGCACTGCCGTCTCATTAGCACTGCCACTGGAAAAACACACACATACACACACACACACAGACAGACAGAGACACAGAGATGGTCAGAGAGTGAAAACCAGGGATAAGACCAGGTTGAAGGATTAATTCTCCACGGACAAGGGGTTCTGAAGGTGAGGTCACCAGTAAACGATGCACAGACCCCGAGGAGAGAACCTAGTAAGGCCAGCAGCAGACTGGAGTGTCTGAGAGTGAAGGTCTGGGGAGAGAAGGGATTAAGGGGAGTGGGGAAAGAGGGGAGGGAGTGAGGCGAAGGGAGTATGGTGGAAGAGAAGGGGGAGGGAGTTGGGGGGAGGGAGAGTAGAGAGTGGCATGAGGGAGTGCATGGAGGGAAGGGGGTGAGAGTTGGGGTGGAGTGGGAACTGTTGGGGGACGGAGTTGGGGAGAGATTAGTGGGGAGGGAGAGGATCTGGGCAGATTGTTGGGGGTGGGGTCTGTACCAGAACAGAAATCGTGGGAAGTACACCATCATCGGATTAGAGCAAAGGTTGGGGGGTGGGGTGGGGTGGGGTTGGAGGGGTTCTTGGGGTCAGGAAGTTAGGGTCATGATGAGAGGTATTGTGATGGCATGAGAGAGTGAGGGATTTAATAGAATGGTGAGGGTCAGTGAGGGGGAGTGAGGGCGTGTGGAGTGAGAGGTTTAACAGTATGGGGAAGTTCAGAGTGAGAGGGAAACGGCGATGAGTGATTGAGGAATTTAACAGGATTTGAGGGTCAGAGTGAGGGAGTGAGGATGATGGAGTGAGGGTGATGGGGTGAGGGCAAGGTATTAATGGGTTGGGGTAATGAGTGAAGGTAAGGGAAGGAGCGACTGTCAGGGAGTGAGGATGAGACAAGGAGTGAGGGTAAGGGAGTGAAGGGGTTTAACAGAACAGTGAAGGTCAGAGTGAGGGGTGACTGAGGATGTGAGGAAGTGGGAAGTCCTTCTCTTGGGAAATAAGGCAGGGCAAGTGATGGAAGTGTTAGTCAGGGAGCACTTTGGGGCCACTGACCATGCATAATTCCATTAGTTTTAAAAAAGCTTTGGAAAAGAATAGGTCTGGTCCACAAAGTTAAAGCTCTAAATTGGGGCAAGGCCAATTTTGATGGTCTTAGACTGGAACTTTCAAAGGTTGATTGGAGGAGGCTGTTTGCAGGCAAAGGGACGCCTGTCATGTGGGAGGCTTTCAAAAGTGAGTTAACGAGGTTTCAGGGCCAGTGTGTTCCTGGTAGAGTGAAAGGGAAGACTGGCAGGAGTAGGAAACCCTGGATGACTAGAGTTATTGAGGTTCTGGTCAAGAAAAAAAAATAGGAGGCATATGGCATGTGGCCGGGAGGGCGGCAGCTGGGAGCAGCTGGATTGCTTGAGGGTGTCAGAGTACACTCAAGAGAGAAATCAGGAGGGTTAAAAGGGGACACAAGATGGCTTTAGCAGATAAGATATAGGAGAATCCAAAGAGATTCTACAAATATATGAAGGGCAAAACAGTAACTAGGGAGAGAATAGGGCCTCTTAAAGATCAACAATGTTGTCTATGCGTATTTACTGTCAGAAAGGTATGGATGCGAGGAAACGTTGGGAAATAAATAGTGATGTCTTGAAGAGAGTCCACATTACAGAAGAGGAGGTCTTAAACAGCATGATGGTAGATAAATCCCTGAGACCTGATGAAGTGTATCTCAGGACTTTGTGGGAGATGAGGGAGGAAATTGAGGGACCCCTAGCAAAGATATTTGTAACATCAACAGCCACAGGTGAAATGCCTGAAGATTGGAGGGTGGCTAATGTTGTGCCATTATTTAAGAGATGCTGCTGGGAAATGCCTGGGAGCTACACACTGGTGAGCCTAACATCTGTGGTGTGTAAGTTGTTAGAGGGGATTCTGAGAGATAGGATCTACAAGCATTTGGAGAGGCAAAGACATGGGATAGTCAGCATGGCTTGGTGTGTGGGAAATTGTGTCTCACAAATTTGATTGAGTTTTTTGAAGGGGTAACCAAGAAAGTAGATGAGGGCAGTGCTGCAGACTATCTACTTTTGGAATACTGCATGCAATTCTGGCCTCCCTGCTCTAGGAAGAGTATCATGAAACTTGAAAGGGTTCAGAAAATATTTACAAGGCTATTACAGGCGTTGGAGGGTTTGAGCTATAGGGAGAGGCTGAATAGGCTGGGGCTATTGAGTAAGGTTAAATGTCACAGGATCCAGGGACAGCTAGCCAATCGGATACAAAATTGGTTTTTGGTAGAAGACAAAAGTTTGTGGTAGGGAGTTGTTTTTTCAAAATGGAGGCCTGTGACCAGTGGTGTACCACAGGGATCGGTGCTGTGTCCATTGTTACTCGTCACTTATATAAATGATTTGGATGAGTATTTAGGAGGTATGTTTCATAAGCTTGCGGATGACACTAAGATTGGTGGTATAGTGGACAGTGAAGAAGGTTATCTGGCAATGCTGCGAGATCTTGATTCATGGGGCTAGTGGGCTGAGGAGTGGCAGATGGAATTTAATTTAGATAAATGCAAGGTCTTGCAGTTTAGTGTGTCAAACCAGGGCAGGAGTTAAGCCCTGGGGAATGCTATAGAACAAAGAGATCTAGGGATACAGGTTCAGAGCTCATGAAAATGGAGTCACGGGTTGACAGGGTGAAGACAGCTTTCGGCATGCTTGCTTTCATTGGGCAGAGCATTGAGTACAGGAGTTGGGATGTCTTGTTGCAGTTGTACAAAACCTTGGTGAGGTCACAGTTGGAGTACTGTGCAGAGTTCTGGTCGTCCTACAATTGAAAGGATACTATTAAATTAGAAAAACTGCAGAAAAGATTTGCTAGGATGCTACTCGGACTGGAAGGTTTGAGTTATAAGGAGAGGTTGGACAGGCTGGGACTTTTTTTCCCCTTGAGCAAAAGAGACCGAGGGTTAACTTTATAGAGGCCTATAAAAGCATGAGAGGTGTAGATAAGGTTAGATAAGCCAACAGCTTTTACCCGTGGCAGGGGAGTCTAAAATTAGAGGGCATAGGTTTACTGTGAGAGGGGAGAGATACAAAAGTGTCCAGCGGGGCAATTTTTTTCACACAGAGGGTGGTGAGTGTCTGGAATGGGTGGCCAGAGGTACTGGTGGAGGCAAGTAAAATTTTATCATTTAAAAAACATTTGGACATGTACATGGATGGGATAGGGTATGTAGGGATATGTACCACACACAGGCAAATGCAACTAGTTTAATTGTGAAAAATGGGCGGCAAGGGCAAGTTGGATGAAAGGGTCTGTTTCCGTGCTGTAGACCGCTATGACTCGATGTCTGTAATTGAGGTGTGTAACAGGACAGGGACGTTCAGAGTGAGGGGGAGTGATGGTGAGGGAGTGACGAAGGAAAGGTGAGGAGGTAAGGGAAGGACTGTGAGGAAAGGAGTGACTGTCAGGGAGTGACAGCGATGAAAAGAGGATGAGGGGGGGATGAGGGAGTGAATGAGTGTGGGTGTGGGAGGTGGGAGCAAGACTGAGAACCTGAGGATGAGGGAGTGAGGGGCTGAGTAGAGGAAGTGAGGGTGAGGCTGAGAGTGTGAGGGTAAGAGTGAGGGTGAAGTGTGAAGATGAGGTTGAGAGGCCGAGGTCGTGAGGGTGAGGGGGTGAGGGAGTGAATGTGTGAGGGTCTCAGGGTGAGGGCAAAGTGGTGAGGCTGTGACTATGCGAAGGGGTGAGCTTGACAAAGAGGCTGAGGTGAGGAGGTGAGGGAGAGAGGGTGAGTGGATGAAAGGTTGAGGGTGAGGGGATGAACTAACGGGGGTGAGGGAATGAGGGGTGAGGATGAGGGGGCGAGGATGAGGGAGGGGCTGAGGGTGGGGCATTGATGATGGAGGGGCTGGCTATGAGGGGGTGAGGATGAGTGAGGAATTGGGAGCAAGGGATTGAGGCTAAGTGAGGAGTTGAGGATGAGCGGGCTGAGGGTGAGGGAGGGGCTGAGGGTGATGGAGTCTGTGTAGGTGACAGTGTGTTTGGAGCAGAGAGTGGAATACACCTCACTGTAACTCGTGCCTCCCAATGCAAGGGATATTTAACAGGTATGCTTGGTGGGGAGGTCGGAGGGGGCACGTTTCCTCTGTAAGGCTCCAATCTGCCCCCAGTCTGATTTACTCTGGATGACACCACGAAATGGCAAAGGGGTCCGTGTGCAACTGGGGCTCTGAGAAATCAGCGAGCGGGGTGCCCGTTCTGCCACCTAAGATTCATGCTTCACACGGGAGCAGGTGCCGTTGAGCTGAAACCCGGCTCCAACACCTTCGGGCAGCCAACAACGCGGAGTGAGTGACAGGGTATGTTCTGCCCAAGGACGTCAGGGGGTGAACCATCTGTACCCTGTTGAGTAAACAGCACGGGGCTGACTAATCTCTGGGCTAGACCGAGGTGGAGCGATAAAACTCAGGGTGGTCTGGGAAGGGGTCACTCAACTGGAACTGGAGCCTGTAAAGTTAGGCGGAAAAGGAACAGGTCTAAAAGCAGCGGGAGAAGGCAAAGATTGAACAATGTGGGTGTGGCAGTGGGTGTGTGTGAGGGTAAGAGAGAGGGTGTGGTTGAGGGTTTGTGTGAGAGTGTGTGGGTGAGAGTAAGAGTGGGTGTGGGAGAGAGTGTGGTCTAGACTGTGGGTGTTATTAAAATTGAGAGTGTGGGGAGGCTGAGCATGTGGGTGAGGGAGTGGAGGACAGTATCCCTGGGTGGGGGTGGGGGTTGAAACTGTGAGTGTGGGTGAGGGTGTGGGCAAGTGAGACTGCAGTTCAGGGTGTGGTGGGAATATGTGTGTGGGTGAGGGAGAGCTTCTGGGTGTCAGTGTGAGTGTGCTTGAGAGATTGAGAATTTGGGTGTGGTTGAGACTGCGGGTGTGGGAGAGTGTGTCGGAGAGAGTGTGTGGTGATGGTGGGTGAGAGTTTGGATGAGGATAGGACAGTGGATGACAGCGAGAGAGTGACATTGGGGTGAGACTGAGATATTGGTTGTGGGTGAGAGTGTGCTTCAGGTTATGAGTATGAGTCAGGGTGAGAGTGTGGTTCAGGGTGTGGGTGAAAGATTGGGTGAGGGTGGGGGTCAGGGAGTGGATGAGTGATTGGGTGAAGGTGTGGGTTAGGGATTGGGTCAGAGATTGGGTGAGAGTGAGGGTGTGTGTGTGGGTGTGTGGATGTGAGAGTGGGAGGTGGCTGAGAGTGTGGTTCAGGGTGTGAGAGTGAGTCAGGGTGAGAGTGTGGTTTAGGGTGCGGGTGTGAGTAGGAGGTGGGTGACAGTGTGGTTTGGGTTGTGGGTTTGGGTGTGAGTCAGGTGAGAATGTGGCTCAGGGTGTAGGCATGAGTGGGAGGTGGGTGAGAATGTGGTTCAGGGTGTAGGCATGAGTGGGAGGTGGGTGAGAATGTGGTTCAGGGTGTAGTTGTGAGTCAGGGTGAGAGGGTGGTTCAGGGTGTGGGTGTGAGTGTGAGTCAGGGTGAGAATGTGGTTCAGGGTGTGGGTGAGAATGTGGTTCAGGGTGTGCATGTGAGTGGAGGTGGGTGAGAATGTGGTTCAGGGTGTGGGTGTGAGTGTGAGTCAGGGCGAGAATGTGGTTAAGGGTGTGGGTGTGAGTGTGAGTCAGGGTGAGAATTTGGTTCAGGGTATGGGTGTGAGTCAGGGTGAGAGTGTGCTTCAGGGTGTGGGTGAAAGATTGGGTGATGGTAAGGGTCAGTGAGTGGATGAGTGATTGGGTGAGGGTGTGGGTTAGGGATTGGGTTAGAGATTGGGTGAAAGTGAGGGTGTGGGTCAGGGAGTGGTTGAGAGATTGGGTGAGAGTGAGGGTGAGTGTGAGAGATTGGGCGGTGAGGGATTGAGTGAAGGTCTGGATCAGGGAGTTGGTGAGAGATTGGGTGAGAATGAGGGTCAGGAAGTGGACGAGAGATTGGGTGAGGGTGTGGTTGAGGGAGTGGATGGGAGATTGGGTAAGATTGAGAGTGTTGGTGAGAGATTGGATACAGATGTACATATCATTGAGGGAGTGAGAGGGTGCATGTCGGTGAGGAAGTGGGTGAGAGGTTGGCCGTGGATGAAGCATGGAGTGAGAATGTGGTGTGGGTGTGCATGACTGTGTGTGTGCGTGAGGGTGTGAGTGAGGGTGTTGGAGAGGGTGTGGGTGAGATTGTGGGAGAGGGTGTTAGAGAGGGTGAAGGTAAGAGTATGGGTGTGGGAGAATGTTGGAGATGGTATGAGTGAGAGTGTGGGTATGGGAGAGAGTGTGGTGAGGGTGTTGGTGAGTGAGTGGTTTCAGGAAAGAGTGATGGAGAGGGTGTTGGTGAGTGTAGATATTGTAGAGAGTGTTTTAGAGTGTGTTGGGAAGTGAGGGTGTGGGAGAGAGCGTTTTAGAGGGTGTTGGTGAGTGTGCGTGTGGGAGAGAGTATTTAAGAGGCTGTTGGTGAGTGTGGGTGTGGGAGAGAGTGTTTTAGAGGGGATTGGTGAGTGTGGGTGTGGGAGAGAGTGTTTTAGAGCGGATTGGTGAGTGTGGGTGTGGAAGAGAGTGTTTTAGAGGGTGTTGGTGAGCGTGGATATGGTAGAGAGCGTTTTAGCGGGTGTTGGTGAGTGTGAGTGTGAGTGTGGGAGAGACTGTTTTAGAGTGTATTGGTGAGTGTGGGCGTGGAAGAGAGTGTTGGAGAGGGTGTTGGTGAGTGTGGGTGTGGGGGAGAGT